CTCAAATAGTTTTCTGTAAGTTTTAATTCTCTTGCAGAAGTCCAGCTGAGAAAAGTTGTCAGCGTTTAGCTCCTCTGAATAATTGATTTCTTCAAGATACGTTGTTGTTATTGTTGTTAGGTGCTGTCGAGTCAGTTCCTACTCATAGAGACCCTGTTTAAGGTTTCTGAGAAGCGGCTGATGAGCTTGAACCACCAACCTTGCAGTTCAAACCGACCATGCAGTCCAGTGCATTAATCCACCGCACCACACCAGGACTCGAAGTAGTCCTTCATAAATCTCCCCTACTTTAACTCAATGTCATCTCCCTTTGCTCAGTTTTTCTGAGATCTGAGAGTAGAGAATTTATTAGCATGTCTCTTGTACAACTCGAGCATAGCAGGAAATTAAATTCATCTGGTATAATTAGTTGTTTGGAAAGCTTTGCTGGTTGCTCTGTTCTACTTTATTGGTTGCCAAGGCGATTGTAAATTGATTGTTTGATGACTTGTTCTAGGATAATTCCAGGTATTGATGTTAACTTTAGACATTGACAGACCCAAACATGAACAGAAGAGATCTGCCATGATGGTAAATGGGTCTCTAGACCAAGAGAACCAGATACACTTAAATTAAATAGAAGACTCAGGCAAATCTCAGAAAATCTTAGACAAACCAAATATAATCTTAGTGAAGACAGAGGAGACTTGTTTTGAGTGGCCTCAAGGGGGCAGACTTAAGGTCCATGGTAGAAGTTATTGGAAGGTCAGAGAAATACATACCAAGCAAAGGGGCTGGCCAGCTTGCCCTCACTAGAGATGACTTTGTAGTAGTTTAGATGGATGCATTCATTGTGTAAGGAGCTGACTAGTCTATGAGATGCTTCATTAAAAAACCACGAACATCCTACCCATCCGTGTAAGTCAATGGCTTTAATTACTGTTTGTCTATGTGATATTCTTTTTCATTGCAATTATTTTTCACAGCAATTCAAATTGAAAATAAATTACTCATTATACATGCTCAAAAGTCCCTTTCACACACATGAGCAGACAAGGCAAATATGTTTCTATACTGGTTCTGTGATTTAAAAAAAAAAAAAAGGGGGATCAATAATAGGCATCCCTGTCCACAGCATCGTGCTAAGCATGTTGCGTGCATTAAATATCCTCTAATGGAGTCCTGATAGCGAAGTGGTTATGAGTCGGGCTGCGAACCTCAAGGTCAGCAGTTCGAAACCACCAGCTGTTCCACGAGAGAAAGATGAGGCTTTCTGCTCCCGTAAAGATTTACAGCCTCAGAAACCCTGTATAGGGTCTCTATGAGTTGGAACCAACCCCACGACACTTAACAACAGTAACAACTACATTGTAAATTTAATGAGATAATGCTGTAGGAAGGTAATATTAAAGACAGACATTTAAAACAATCGATAGGTATTTCTTTGCTCAAAGCATCATAAATTTGGGAGGACTCTTGTCTAAACCAAGACCCAAGATATACATTTCCTAGTCTATCCAGCTACTGGGGGAAGGGCATTCTCTGGCACCACAAAGCTTTACTCCTATTCAAATATCCATTTGGTAAATCAAAGTGTATCTGTGTATGTGTGCACACGTCTTCCTGTTTGGCAGGCAGGAAGTGACAAATCAGTGTTTTAAGGGATTGACAAAATATGTAAGTAGATACTATCAATCAGCATAAGAGAGTCTGATTTTTCTTACATCAGTTAAAGGTGCATTTAGTCTCCTAAAAACTTTCAAGCTCTACGGAAGCATTAATGCTCTAAGGCCTTGATTACAATAAGCAGTGCTTGTCAAACTCCTCTGCTAGGAAAAGAGATGGAAGAGCAGTGCAGGGCAGTGGACAGCATGCCAGGCCAGGAGGCAGACCTGGACTCTTCAGTGACCTTACTACCTTGAACTTCTCATGTCTGCACTTCAGTTTCCTGATTTGCAAACTGAGGGGGGATAGGCTAAATGATTAATTAAACCCTTTTCCATTCTAACCTTTTCTAATCCTATGATTTTAAAAGGAGGTCAGAAGAAAAGACTCTTGGCAAGAAGACAACATCTTGAAATTCCTATTATTTTGGTGATGCACACAGAGAGAGAGAGATTATGCATTTGGCAAGGTTAGTAGACAAGGGTTTGTAACTTCTTAGTCGACATAAGTAGTTTCCCCTTCTTGATTTAGTGTTTGTGGGGTTTTTTTAAGGTATTTCCCCAAATGTACAAAGTTAAATTTTTAAGTGACGTATGTATATATCTAAGTGATCAATTAGTGTTTATTCTAAAAGGGTTTTCTTTGTTCTTTTTTTGTATGTGAAAGTTAAACAATATACTTATTTATTCCATAGTTTCACAAACAGGAAAGAGGTTTTAAATGGCTTAGTTCCACAATTCGGGGTAGAAGCATATTTAAAGAAACATTGTTGCATAATACACACTGCCTCTTCTTAAAACACATCATACCAGAGCCAATTTTGGATAACGCAAATATGGGGTGGGTATGTTTTGAAAACCATGTGGACATAATAGGTCCTCAATTAATATTTGTGGTTTGTATGGGAAATGTGTGCTATTTTAAAGGTATTTGTCTTGCAAAAACAGCTTCTTTTATTAAAGGACATTCAAAGGATCATGTAAAATTTTCTTTCTGAAATTTACTTCTATAGTAAACACCCAACTTACTTTTGTCCTAAAGTATTTTATTTTCTAGTAGAAGAAACTAACAACATGCATATGCTAATTGAGATGTACTGACATGGTAACTGGGGCAATAGATTCAAACATAACACAATTGTATGGATGAAGCAGGGCCCCACAGTGTTTAATTTTGTTGTCCATGAGGCACTGTATGAGTTGGAGCAGACTCAACAGCACCTAACAACAATAAACTAAGTAATTTATAGAAATGTTCTTTATAACCCATATTTGTGTGGCATTTACCTGTGTCAGAGCACGTTCCCATTTATTTTTAGATCATTTGATTCTCACTCAATCTAGTAGCAATACTAAAAAGCTACTTCCTTTCCCCCTGTAGAGATAAATGAAATTAGGCTTCATCTTTACAAATTGCCATAGGAAAGTTAAGCTAGAAAGTTATAAGACATATAGGTCTGGAATTTGAATATTCCAATACTAGTTGCAAAGCTTCCTCCTTATCTTCCCTTCCTTTCTGCATTTAACGATGCAGCCTATTGAAAAGATTAAAAAATCAATTTTGAACCAGACAGACCTAGGTTCAAATCCTGCCTCTGTCCATGTGCTCCTGGGCAAGCTGTTTCCCTCTTTAAAACCTATGTGTGAATTAAACTAAAAACAGCACCCTTCCATGGGGTTTTAGAAAGGTTTGAATGGAATAATGTATGATTAGTACAGAGAAACTCAGTCCATAAATGTTATCCATTGTTACATTATTATATAATCTGCAAAGTATGTTTGACTACACTGCATGAAATACTTTGTTTTTCAAAGATACTACCAATGTATTTCAAATCAAACACTAGGCATTAAGTTTTTTCTTAACAGTAAAGTCAGATACCAAAGGAAATTATTTCGTGGATAAAGTCTTTGGTTTAAAACCTATCTGCTTAAAAATTAAAAACAAAAACAAAAACAAAAACAAATGTAACAAGGATGAATTATCTTTTGCTTTCTATTGTTTGAAAATGTTCTTAAATGTTAACGTTCTAAATAGGTTGAACCATCTGAAAATTGCCATTTTGTGAGTCAAAAGGTCCCAATCTTGACAATTTCATAGGGTTCAAGCAAATAGATTAACAAACTGAGGACCAAATGAAAGTTGATTTTTGTTTTGTTTTGTCTTGTCTTAGGTGCAACGGAGGTGATAAAGAAATTCACATTGAAAAGAAAAGGATCCATTTTCAATGCATTTTCATTCCAACCATGAGGGAATGATCACACTCCTGAGAATTAAAAAACAACAGCATCCAACTTTCTCCTTCCACCCCCAAATACAAACATGAAGACCCTAGCTTTGCCTGTAATTCAGAGTAAAATTGTCTCAAGGCTTGCAAAATTCTCAAGGCAGGCACCAAAAGTACTTGACAGTGAGTGAGTGTGTTGAGGAAATCAGCAGCTGTTGAAGTCACCTATTGAGGTCTTGCCAAATGTTTGAAAACAAATATGCAAGGGTGCCCGTGTGTGGGGAGGTTGAAAGTAGGGGTGAGGGCTTCATTTGTGAATGCTTGAGTAAGGACATTTTGTGCGTAGGGATAGGGACATCCCTGTCTGTGTCACTCAGCAAATGAGTGTTCCTGTGTGTTTACCTCTTTCCATGTTTGCGCCCATGCTTTTTTTTGTGTGTGTTTCTGTGCTCATTTCTGTCGGCGTCTCCGAGTTGGACAGGGGTGACTTTGTGCCTGTTTGCCGCTCTGTGTGTGCGCGCGCATGCGAGTGTTCATGCTAGTGCGTTGGACGGGTGTGTCTCAGTGTCTGTGGCTGTGGTTCGGTATAAGTCTGAGCATGCCTGTCAGACTGCATTCGTGCCTAAACATGCATGTCTCGGTGGGCACTCAAGCCTCTGTTTCCATATGTGGGGGATTGCCAGTGTGCTGCTCTCTGTGCTATGACCTCAGTCAGTACAACGCCCAGGACAGACAGGTAGCAGCCATATAAGAGCCCCAAGTTCTTGGTAAACATGCCAGTCCCCAGCTTTAGCCCTCTTGGAGCAGCCCGGGGTAACCCAACAGCGAGTGGGGGCCCGCCCGCCGAGATCAAGTAGCAGCTGAGCCCCGCCCGCGCCAAGCCCAGGAGGGGGCGGGCTAGGGGAGGGAAGGGGCGGGAAAGGAGGGGGGCCTCGCCCCTTTGGGGCTGCCCACCCGCCATTGGCTAAAAGTTGCCTCACGTCATGACGAGGGCAGTTCTCCTAAAGTCCTGAGCACATAACGGGCAGGGCGCACTCAGAGGCGGCTTCTCCAGAGCGCAGCCTGGGACTGACGGGCGCAGCGAGGCCAGGGCACCCCACAAAGCTGAGTGTGCAGGACTCGCCCCACCACACCCACCACACGGCTGCTGAATGAGGCTTCCAGGCTTTCGCTCGTGGCCTGCAGTGCCCCACCGGAGGTCCGCCAGCTGAGGCGCGGCCAGTGCGCCTGCAGCCAGTGCGCTCACCTGCCAGCCTGCGCGCCATGGGGCAATCCGGGAACAGCAGCGTCTTTATGCTGGCAGCCAACGGAAGCCAGGAGCCAGACCACAACGTCACGCAAAAACGGGACGAGGCGTGGGTGGTGGGCATGGGCATTCTTATGTCGCTCATCGTCCTGGCCATTGTGTTCGGTAATGTGCTGGTGATCACCGCCATCGCCAAGTTTGAGCGTCTGCAGACAGTCACCAACTACTTCATCACCTCGCTAGCCTGTGCTGACTTGGTCATGGGTTTGGCGGTGGTGCCCTTTGGGGCCAGCCACATCCTCATGAATATGTGGACTTTCGGCAACTTCTGGTGCGAATTTTGGACCTCCATTGATGTGCTGTGCGTCACCGCCAGCATTGAGACCCTGTGTGTGATCGCAGTGGATCGATATTTTGCCATCACATCACCCTTCAAGTACCAGAGCCTGCTGACCAAGAACAAGGCCCGGGTGGTCATTTTGATGGTATGGATCGTGTCGGGTCTTACCTCCTTCTTGCCAATCCAGATGCACTGGTACCGGGCCACCCACGAGGAAGCCATCAATTGCTATGCCGAAGAGACCTGCTGTGATTTCTTCACGAACCGAGCCTATGCCATTGCTTCCTCTGTTGTGTCCTTCTACTTGCCCCTGGTGGTCATGGTCTTCGTCTACTCCAAGGTCTTCCAGGTGGCCAAAAGGCAGCTTCAGAAGATCGACAAATCTGAAGGCCGCTTCCATGCCCAAAACCTCAGCCAGGTGGAGCAGGACAGACAGGGCAGGCATGGACAACGCAGGTCCTCCAAGTTCTGCTTGAAGGAACACAAAGCCCTCAAGACTTTGGGCATCATCATGGGCACATTCACCCTTTGCTGGCTGCCCTTCTTCATTGTCAACATTGTGCATGTGATCCGGGACAACCTCATCTCGAAGGATGTTTACATCCTCCTCAACTGGTTGGGCTATGTCAATTCTGGTTTCAATCCCCTCATCTACTGCCGGAGTCCAGATTTTAGGATTGCCTTCCAGGAGCTTTTGTGTTTGCGTAGGTCTTCTCTGAAGGCCTATGGGAATGGCTGCTCCAACCACAGTAACAGCAAAAGTGACTACACAGGGGAGCAGAGTGGCTGTCACCTGGAACAGGAGAAAGAAAATCAACTACTGTGTGAGGATCCCCCAGGCACACAAGACTTTGTGAACTGTAAAGGTACTGTGCCTAACGATAGCATTGATTCACGAGGGAGGAATTGTAGTACAAATGACTCACTGCTGTAATTTGGGGTTTCTACTTTCTAAGACTCCCCCTCTCCAAGGAACACTAAACAGACTATTTAACTTGAGTGTAATAAATTTAGAATAAAATTTGTATAGAGATGTGCAGAAGGAAGGACATCCTTCTGCCATTTGTTTTCTATTATTTTTTTAAGCTGTAAAAAAAGAGAAAGCGTATTTGAGTGATTATTTGTTTCTTGTACAGTTCAGTTCCTCTTTGCATGGAACTTTCAAGTTTATGTCTAAAGGGCTTTTGTCCCAGAGGACCTGGGTCTGCTATGTTTTGACGACTTTTCTGTGTATCTACCTCATTGGTTAAGTATTATTAGGGGTGATATATTGCTGCTGGTCATTTGTATCTGAAGGAGATGTTCCTTCCTGCACCCTTGGACTTGAGGATCTTGGACCTTTCAGCTGTGAACATGGACTCTCCCCGCTCTTCTTATTTGCTCAAACGGGGTGTAGTAGGCAGGGATATGAGGGGCAGCTTCCGTTGTTTTTCCTGAGCAAAGTCTAAAGTTTACAGTAAATAAATTGTTTGACCATGACTTCATTGCACCTGTTTCTCCAAAACCCCTTGACTTGACTGGAGTGTTGTTGCCTCCCCCACTAGAAACCACAGGTAACTATTTGTAATAACTGCCCAGTGACTTAATGCTGAATGATACAGGAATGACATGCACTGATTGCTTAACCCTTTAGTCTGCCTTGAAATCTGCAACTACAAACCTGTATCTCTCCTAACGCTTGTGCCCAAATCAGTTCTGCCTTCCTCCAGCATAGCTCAGCTCAGCCTACGGTTATTATTCTATGTTGTTACATCAGAAACAGTGACTCATAGAAATGGAGTTATGGGCATATGTTTAGTCCCTCTGCATACTCACTTTTCGGTTCTACTTGTTTAATAACTGCTGATATTTATATCTTTGCTATGTCTCATAGTGGAGAGCTTTGTGCTGTATTAGGGTTTGGCATTTTAAGGGGATATGGAAGATGTGAAAAATGTATTCGAACATATAGCTAGCTCATCATTCCAGGGGAAACTAAAAAGGGCAGTGGTCACGGGGAGAAAAGTGGGGAAACACATAACTAATGAATATATCATAACCTAGACAGAGGGTTTTAGCCCTCTCCTCCTCCTTTTCTTCTGTTCCCCTCCCCTTGCCCCCCCCCCTTTTGACTCCTTTCACCAAAGTTTCACAATGTCAACACTACTGAAATTTTGGAGCAAATAATTCATTATTGTGGAGGACTGCCCCATGCATTGTGAAACAGCAGTGTCTTTGACTTCAACCCACGAGGAATACTACCTACCCAACTGTTACAACCAAAAACGACTTCAGTCAGGGTCAAATGCCCACTTGAGGCAAAATCACGCCTGATTGAAAACTTCTGGTATAGACATTTAAGATGGAAACAGACTTTAGATTACTTCTAATGCAACAGTTTTATTTTGTAGAGCCTCTTGAGAGCCATGGCAATTTTGCTACTGTTTGAGAATCACTGGTGTAAACTTTTTAAATCGGCACAGATATTTAGATTCTGTCTAATGCAATGACTTTGTTTTACAGAGCCTCCAAAAGGCATCATTTTGCAGTTTACCCAGCCAGTGAGAGATCCTATGGCAGTGTTCTTTGCATCCTATCATGCTGAGTTCTGAACTTACTTTCTAACTGCCTAGATATTGATCGTGAGATATCAGAAGGCTTTGAGTCTGTGCAGGATCCTTTGGGAGGGTTTATGCATTGAGAGAAGGCCTGTGGACCATTGCTGCCTGTTGGTGGCAAGATTAGAGTACACAGGAGGAAAAAAATTACAAAAGTAAACACATTTCCCAACCCCCCTCCCCTTGCCATCACCTTTTTTTTTCTATTTTCGCCTCTGTGTCTGAGCCAGAGCTTGGCCCAGATTTGATAGAGTGGATCATCCTCCTTGGCAACGTTGGGCTGGAGAGGATCGGTCTGCAGGGTTCAGTGACATTTCACTCACTCATGAAGTTGACTGCACGTCTCTCTCCTCTTCTGTCTCAGCCAACGCCCCCAAACAGAAAGGCATTGGGCTTCTCCGCTTCCTGTCAGCTCAGGTATGGGATGGCTGACTGACTGAACACTGAGGCTCTGAGGAAAATGTTAGGTGCCCATGGTTTTGAAATGTACTATGACAAATTGGAGAGTGGGTGCCATTGGACACTTTTCCTTCTTCTTAGAGGGCTTTCATGCTGTGTTCTCCTCCTGCCTTGAGCCCCACCTCCAGAGGTGTGAACAGCTTCTCCAGCTAACCTTCACACCCCAATAGTCTCGAAGGATCTCAGACTGGGAAAAGCCTCTAGAAAGCATTTGACATCTGAAGAGACTGAAGCCTGAGAAGGGGAATGACCTGCCCAAGGTAAGAAACTAAGGGTGCCAGAGACGCAGCTAAAGCCAGGGAACCTGTCTGTCATTCCAGAAGCCAGTGTATTCTCTTGACTGAATTATCACTGATATTTACCTTCACCCTCAGTTGTGGAAATGTTTCCCTGGGACTGTAACACAACAAATGTATTTCAGCGGATGTTTTTACTTCATTTAGGTCCTTAACACAAAATTCAGGGAATAAGCAAAAAACCTGAAATAGGGAAAAAAAGAAAGGAGTGTTCCTTTTACTCAGTAAGAACACACTATGATATCCTCTATATTTAGGGAAACTGGGAAATTCATAACTTTTTATGACCTGCCAGGAATTTCAAGACATTCCAGGTAGAAAGTTCCCATTTTCTTGTTTCTAAGTGTCAGAAACTTTCTGTCACCATTTGCAAGTCCTGTGGACATTAAATATCATTATCAAACAATAACCGTTTTGTGTCAATACTCTTTGGGTTAAGAAAGGCATTCATTTTTCCATAGAGGAGTATCTTGTGAAATTTCAATTAAAGCATTTCAACAAGAAATATTCAGATTGCCAGCTAAAGGGTGATATTAGTCATATTCTGGCCCCTTTAAGAATACTGTGACTATAAGAACTTTGATCAGCACTAAAGATCTTGTCAAGTAATGTCATTTTCAGCATATACCAATCCTTCAGTTTCTACCACCTTTAGTTTAGTTTTGTTTCTTTTGAGGGGCTGTTGTCTGTATCCCTGTAGCCCTCTGTTTGCTGACTGGTTGGTTATGTAAGATTTTTATTAGATTCAGCATCATAAAGTTTTCTTTGCCTGGACAGCAAGTTCTCAGAGTCTGTCAGATGAAAGCCTTCTCCTGAGATACAAACTGACAGGTGTGTGTACAGTGGAGGCACAGGGTGGGCCTCTCTGCAGAGAGTGTTATTGGGAGAAGGAATCTGGGGGAAAGGGAGGCTGGGAATATGAGCTGTCTTTGCACAATGTTAAAAGTGTCCCTGATAATGACCCTACTGCCAGATGGAGCTTAGAACAGGGGCAGTCAGGGTAATTTGGGAGCACCTACTATGTACCTGGGGTGTCCTGGTGTGGCTCTGTGGGTTAATGCATCAGACTGCAAAGTCATTTGAACTGCAATGTCGGCAGTTCAAGCTCACCAGCTGCTCCTTTGAAACCCTATGCAGGGTCGCTATGGGTCAGAATGGACTCGATGGCACTTCACAACAACTGTGTGTGTGTCTGGAGTCATACTGTGGCACTGTCGCCTAATGAGTCAGACTGCGAAGTCATTTGAACTGCAAGGTCAGCGGTTCAAGCTCACCAGCTACTCCTTTGAAACCCTATACAGAGTCGCTATGGGTCAGAATCGACTCGACGGCACTTAACGACAACAACTATGTGCCTTCAGCATGGGAAAGGTGTAAGTTTCAGTCACTGTCTTTTGGAGCATGATACAATAACAACAAACCTTTGGTAGAATGCTTATAAATATTAGGGACTGTACCAGACTTAGGTCATCTTTGCTAATTTATGATATTGGTAGCATAATTAGCTCATTTACCAAATGAGGAAACTGAGATTCAAGAAGATTAAGTAACTCACTCAACATAAGCTAGCTGTAGGGTCAGAGCTGGAAACTAGGTCTGTGTGAGTCCAGTCCACAGTGCAGACCAGGAAGCAGCATGGGGCCATTGACAGTTTGTGCCAGAACAAGTGTAAGAACTGGAAATGCAATACCTTGTTGAGAGAAGAGGGAGATGGCTGTGGGTCGGAGCAGGCAGGAATGTTCCAGTCAAAGCATGTGACTGCAGGGTTGCTGGGGACTGGGACAGGAAGCCAATCACTAAAGTGCCTCATTTGCTTCTCTGAGTCTCTGCTTTGTCTTTTTATCAGAGCCAGGCCAAATTAAAAAGAGGATATGAAACTCAGAAATGAATAGCACAGAGTAAAGCAGAACACAGACGATCTTACCCCCTAGCAAACTCAATCTCCATTCCAAAATTAGGAAGGTCTCCTAAATTGAGCGGGGAACTGGATCTTATGGAATATTTGGCCAGCCTCCGTGGTTCTGAGGTGTGCTCTCTGCTTGAAACTCACCTTCTAAGAGGGTGAGGTGGATGATTTCCTGACAGCAGAAGTCAGAGAGGGTTAATATACTTTGAACAATACTTTTCATTGACAGACACCTCTGTGCTAATTCCTACTTCACTGACAGTGTAAATATAATTTGGGGAAGGAATTTTTGAAATACCTAAGAGAACAAACTTCCCAAGGGCTTTCAAGAAATTGGGAAATATTGGTGGGTCCTGAATAATAGAAGGCAAGTTACAGTGGACAGAGCTAGATTGGGGCTCACACTGCTGTGGTTCAGGTCTCAATTTAGTCTCTCTCTGTCTCCCTTCTCTCTTTCTGTGAAACTAGATAAGGCAGTATTCCTCTGTGAGTCTCAGTTAGCTCATCTGTAAAATGATGTGGGCATTGCTGGTGGTCTCTCAGCTCTCCTTAGCTTTCAATCTAAATAGCTATTAACTTAGAGGCTAATTAGCGACAGCAGTTTTGTATTTCCATTTTGAATTGACATTCACTGCGTGTATGATTGAATATTCTGGAGGAGGGCCTGCTCAGCCAG